TCTATTAAATTGTAAATTAAGATTTAAAAATTTCCATATCACGTAGATATGTACCTCCATGATAGCTTGACTATATTTGCCGACCATGTCCACCGTGTGCTCAACCTACAGGTGGGTATGGGTATGGTGACTTGCACACGAATTAAATTATAATGATATTAGACTTGCGCAAAACTTTTCGCACTTTCTCTTACATTACCCTCCTGAGCTCAGTGCCGTGAGAGAATCACGAAATAAGGAGGAGGGGTGGACGCAATCGACTGATGCGGCGTGATTCTGTGCCTAGGCGTGCCACCATACTATACCCCGCTCCTGTCAAATAAACCAGGATTTTACTAACGACTGGTAGGACAGATGCATGAAAAAGGATAGGAAACGAGGAATAGAAGGTGCCCTATTGGACACACAAACCCTCGGAGTGTTACTTCGCGGAAGACTAAAAGGAACTTATAAAAACTGCCAGGCCAAAAATACTTGGAAGCTTATATGTATTTTTACTACCCAGTCTAGGTCTTAAGTCCTAGGGCCTTCAATAAAAGTTGTGGCTCCGCATTCACAATGGCAATGGTTTCCCCAGGTCACTGGAAGGAATGAAAGAAAATGGAAACCTCAGGCAACTAATTCAAATGTACTTACTTGCACTTTGTTAAGCAAATATTATTACCGATTCGACTAACTTAGATTATATTACACATATGCATCTTATGTGAGGGGAATCAAAAGAGCACATGGTCAGTACAGCATTTGAAACCATGGAAGCGGTTTAACCAGCACAAACTCAGTTGAAGCAGACCTCCGTGAAGATTGAACTATCACTGTAGATACAGCTCAGAGCCTGGCGCAGCCAGACATCATGCTTTTACAAATCACCTTATAGAACAACCTGAAATCGTCTAGCGGAAGATCAGTAAGTTGCAGCCGCTCTTGAACTCCATTTCATCTTGTTCTTATAAAAATGACTTCATAACGTTCAGACCTTAGTGCTCGATCACAATTTTTCCTTTCAAAGCTTCGTTACTCACGCGGGAAGGAGAATAATATTGGAAGCATTCGAGCAGACGAAACTATGCAAGCGCATATCTTTTAATTGCTGTTCTTAGCCAACCTGAATCTTGGATAGTGTATTAACTTATCAATATGACCAACCACTAGACGTGCCTGCGTCGTGAATGCAAAAACACCTGCTGATGGGAATGAAATAGTCTAATTGGTCACTATGTTAACCCGACAGAATACCGAATACCTAAATCTGAACAACACCTCAGGATGTGACAGAATAACAAAAACGACAGGTGAGTGGGGTCCAACGATAAATCTTGACCCCTAGACAGAAATGGGACACATTGAGTTTCCTTGAGGGTGGTTATTTATAGCTCACGTAGGTGTTTGACTGCTAACTAATAACTAATAGTCAATAGGTTTAAAAGAAAAACGGGCAGCCATCAGCGGTTCGTCATTTGCTAACCGGGTAATCTAACTAATGCACTGTGAGTCACATTATGTTGACGGCGATCGGGAAAGAGGTACAAAAACGGAATACGCTTTGATATGTATTTTAGGGA